GGTAGCAGGAAACTCTCCGCACACTCACCGGACCTGGGCTAGGACTGGGTCTGGGGGCTCCCGGAACACGGCAGAAAATCCTACTAGGCGGGCGGGGTGGGGGAGGCACTGCGGAGTGGTGGGGGCGGCCCGAGGGGCTCGGTACTTTTCTTCATATTGAAAGAGAGTATTTCCTGTGAGACCAGAGAACATGTCTTCGGGGCACATTTAAGAGAAAGTCTTAAACGTTAGGCATTTTACATTGCAGTTTTAAACATAGCCTTGTTCCTCCTACCGCAGTTAGTTTTCCCTCTTCACCTGTGTAATCCCGGGACCCGTCTAGCAGTCTCCTGTGTGGGCCAGTCTGTATGAACACATTGTACCAGGATGCGTGTTAATATGGCCAGGATATTGTAGGGAATGTGCTAATGGATTTTTTTTGTTTCATTTTGTTTGTTTTTCTGACCTGACAGGTGTCAGGGCAAAGAATTGACCTCAAACACTACTGGTACTTCCCATAGCACTGAAAGGAAGCAGTTTCTGTAGAATCTGATAGACTGCTTTTTCTCATACTCTACTATTTTTAGGAGTAAGAAGGTTTAAATATAGAATGATGTTACATTTACTAGACAGTTTGTGGTGGGTTTTTTTTTTTTAATTTATGTATTTGGTACAAGGTCTCACTATGCAGCTCAAACTGTAGTGATCCTCCTATCTCAGCCTCCCCAGCGCTGGGATTACAGGCATGCGCCACCATGCCCGGTTTTGGTGGCCAGCTTGGTGAGGGCAGGGCCAGCCCACCATGCAGTGCTGGGGAGCGAACCCAGGTCCTTGTCCTTGCCAGGCAGGAACTTAGACTGTCAAGCTGTCTCCCCAGCTCTACTAGACATATTTTGAACTTGGGTGCATTTGGAAACTATCTAGAGAAAATAAACACTGCACATTTGCTAATAAGGTTTTCTTAAAGAACAAAATGTAATAATGACTGGTCTTTATTTCTTCACTTTATATCATCTCATTTAATCTACTAGCAACTCTTTGAAGTAAGTATTATTATCATGCCCATTTTAGAGATAGAAAACTAAGATATAGATTCAAATAAAGAATATCAAAGGTAACATGCTAGGAAATATTAAGTTGGGGTTTGAGCTCAAGCAATATGACTCTGGCACCTATACTCTCCTTATGAGAAGTGTTATAGAAGAAACATGAATGCATGTTATTGCTATAGAATTATCTAGAAGCACATCTCCGTGTTGTACATCTCCATGTTGTATCTCCATGTTGGGCTAGCTCTGGCTATTGTTTGGTCTTCTCTGTTCAGTGTTAGATGTCCCACAACTTAAAGGATCTTTCTGGTAATATATGTAGAGAAGAGGAATTTTTTGCCCAGATGAATATCCTACCCCCACTTTGTGCCCCACAAGATGGGACCTTGAGTCAAGCTCATGAAGGATCACAGGAGAGGCTGCCGAGGTCCCAGGCAGGGCCAGCAGGTTCACAGAGCATCCAGGGTTGGAAGAACCATGCTGTCCGATGTCAGGGAGAGGGCCTGACTCTCAGGCTAGACACACCAAGCACAGTTCCTGTCCTAAATTCATTTGTATAGTCACGGGGTTGGGTAGCTTCAGATAAGTAAATGAGTTGAAAGAAGGAAGTAAATGGTTTATTTTCATTTTCAACAAAATAAACTAATTTGCATAGGGCTGTTTTTTCCCTAAGCATTCACCTTGGAAGGATGGGAGAACAGGAAAGCCGCGGTGGCCACGTGCTCAGGATTGTCTTCTTTGGGAGCAAATGAGCAGCTTCTCGGTGTAGCTGGTCACCTGTTCCACCATCCCACCTGGTGTATGGAAAGCAGGTTAACCTCTTAAGTAGCAAAGCCCACAGATTCCATAACATCTCAACTCTTTTACTACAGTACTGCCAGCTTGTTTTGGTAGATTGTTATTCTTTTTTTTTTTTCCTTCGGAACTGGGGATTGAACTCAGGCCCTTGCGCTTGCCAGGGAAGCGCTTATTCCACTGAGCCATCTCCCTGGCCTTGTTTTTCTTTATAACAGCCAAGTTGGCGTATCGTTAGAGTCTCTGAGCAAATCTTGTCTGTTCATTTGAATCCATCCTTATACAGCACTGCACTGCATCTGCTCTCATCTGCTCCCTCTAGGAACTTCTTCACACAGTTTTTGGTTCTTAGGATCCCTGTTCTAGCACACCAAGTTTCAGCGATTTCCAGGAGGGATGATGGCATTGGGCATGAGGAAGCATTTGTGCAGAGGAGGTGGTCACTGTTGCCACAGGAGGAGCCTGCTGTGGGTGCAGGCCTGTGTCAGACTCACCACCATGGGGGCACTTTAATCTCAGGCAGTTTAGTGTGTGGCAGCTGTATCTTAGCTGCTTCATCAGAGGATTATCTATGAGACAAAAGCACAAGTGCAGGCATGGTTTCTTTTTGCTAGTGTGATTTGCAGATATGCTTTTGATTTGTGACCCCCACAGGTAGCAGCCATGAGCCAGAGGGGCCCCTTGGCTGTGTCCTCGTCACTGCTGAGGCAGCTGCTGGAACAGACGACTAAGAAGGGCAGGATGCTTCACACACCTCAGAGGGAGCTAGAAGCATATTCTCCACCAGCAGGCAGAGCTGGTGACCAAGCCACCAGAATTGTTCAGCTTAGTTATTGCCCTTTTTGGTTTCTGGGATGCTATCCCAAGGGCTTGTAGGAAGTAGGCAGCACTCTGATCCCCAGCTTCCCCAGGCCTGAAGGAGTTCTTGCCACTCTCATTCCAAGTTCCCATTACTCACCGAGGTCCCCAGGGACACACTTAGTGGTAGTGGCAATGAAGGTGTGCAGCACATGCTGTCTTCTTGGGGTGGTCTGGCCCTGGGGACCTGGGCTGGGGGTGTGCTCACTCAGGGCCCCACGTCTCAATCCCACCAGGCATGGTGGTGCATTCATTTTACCACATTGTACACGTCCTTCTGTGCTGACATGTAAAAGGATTGACCTCTGAGCAGCAGTTTCATAATATTGGAGTGTAATACCTTTGCTAAAAATAAAACAAGTGCGGAAGACCCATTGGAGGCTACCTCTTGTGTCCAGCAGATGTTTCTGTTGTGTTTGGGAATCTTCAAATTTCCTTATCACTCCAAATTGAACCTTGGAAGAATGGGAAAGAGTGACTTCCCTTCCCTTTCCTTTTTCTCTTTTGTGACAGCCCCTTCCGCTTTATACTGGCTGTTTATGTTTCTCAGTGCAGCAGTGGCGTGCATTTTGTTAGTGTGGGACTGTCTGGGATGCTCCTCCTCCCTTTTTTCCTCCCTCCCCTCGCTCCCATTCTCTGGAAGCAGCCCTCTGCCAGTCTCTTCCATGTATGCCTCCCCTGGTCCCTACGCTGCTGCTCACTGTGCCCCTCTGTCTACAGCTGTGGACATGGCTGGAGGAGCTGCAGAAGGAGCTGCTGGATGATGTGTATGCCGAGTCGGTGGAGGCTGTGCAAGACCTCATCAAGCGCTTCGGCCAGCAGCAGCAGACAACACTACAGGTGACCGTCAACGTGATCAAGGAAGGAGAGGACCTCATCCAGCAGCTGAGGTGGGCCTTGCACGTTGCCTGGTCCAACGCAGAGCTTGAGTGCCTCTGCGGGCCCCTGCCGCTCCTCCCGCTTTCTGCACAAGTAGCTTCCACTCTTGTCCATCTAGGTGGAAAACAACAAGCCTCTCAATTCAAAGCACAGCACACAGCTTTTCCTCTTCTTTTTCTCTCCCTCCTGCTCCTTCACAGTTCTAGCTCCATAACTTTTCATATCACAACATGAATTCATTACCCTCTGAATTCAGCTTTCATCAATATTTCCTCATGGCATGTACTGAGAATTACTGAAACTTCTTTCTGAATAGTAATCTGAACTTACTAGGAGTTTACCCTCTGTCCCTCAGGTCTGGCCTGTCCCAGGTGGAGTGTGGTATGCACCCATCTCTGAGTGCAGGTGCACAGGAGACAGGCCGTGCACCCAGCCCTCAGTGCTCCTCACACTAGCAGGCAGGAGGCAGGGCTGAGTGGACTGTGGTGCTTGAGAAAGCAAATTCACAGATTCCTTGTCCTTGGCCACTGGAGGTGCTTCCTAAGTCAGTACCCTGTGTCACTCAGGACAGCTGTGGAATCGTCTCCCAGCTTTGCATGACACTTTCTGTGAGGAGTCGGCAGAAGTTACTAAAGGTTTAATTGGTTGTGTTAAAGGTTAACCTCTCAAAAGCAATATGACTGTCATTGTACTAAACAGGTAGCAGCTGTTCTCTCTACTTAAGGAGCAAAGTGGCTAAGAATAAAACTCTGTCAAAGTAATTTTGTGTAATCATTGCATTTCTTTTGAAAGTGATTCGAGAACATGACAAAGAAACTCCTCGGCACATCCCCCAGTCTTCGGGGCTTGCTCAGGAGAAGGAGCCTGCTGCTTTGCAGGGCTCCAGTGTCTTCCACATTAAGCAGAGCATCCAGTTTCCTGCCACCCTTCTTCCCTGAAGATTTGAGTTGCTGGATCTGGAGTCTAACAGTGTGCAACTTCTGCCTCAGGTCCTGTTTATCTCCTTAAACTCCCATTTGCTCCTGTGTCCTTACAGAGATTCTGCCATCTCCAGTAACAAGACCCCTCACAACAGCTCTATCAACCACATCGAGACAGTGCTGCAGCAGCTGGATGAGGCACAGTCACAGATGGAGGAGCTCTTCCAGGAGCGCAAGATCAAGCTGGAGCTCTTCCTGCAGCTGCGCATATTTGAGAGGGACGCCATCGACGTGAGTGTCCATCGTGCAGCCTTCCTGGCAGGCAGGCAGGCGGCACCAGGGCCCTGCTTCCATTCTCCTCCCTCCTCCTCCCTGTCCCTGCTTCTGCCCGGCACCCTCTCCCAGTTCCCGGCCACTGCAAAGTGGAGGGCAGAGGTGTATGGAGTTCCAGAGTGGTCGAAGACTTCCTTGGTTAGCTCTGGGAGGCTCGGGCTCACCCTGGGGGCTGCGATGGGGCAGAGTCGGACAGGGGAGCCACATGGGCAGTGGGTGTTGAGACGGTGGCTCTGTGTCCAGCATGTGTCAGTTCCAATGCATAGCTGCACAGTACTCCCTTGCTTTGCAGCAGGGACCGCAGCTGCAGCTTAAGGTAGTGTCCTCTGCTGGCCTCTGTCTCCTCTCTTGTCTTCTTTCCTTTTCCCTCGCTTCCCACTCCTTCTCTTTGCATCCTTCTCTCGCCTCTTCCCTCTAGGAGTGGGAGTAACCTTAGCCTGTGCATTTTCAGCAATAGGGAACCCAGTTGTCACCTTTTTACACAGAGATATCCTCAGATTCTCTGTAATTTATACTTAAAAATGGATTTTTGCAACCTGTATGTGAATAGCAGAAAGAAGTACAGGTTCCCTTTGTCTTTTCTCCAACAACAGGAAGGGTGTTTCTGAGTTCTGTGCTAAGGAAGAAGAGCATTTCTCCTGAGCATGGTGTAGTCCAAGCAGAGATTACTCAGAGTGCTGGAGACTGAACTGTGTGTGGACGCACAGAGGAGCCAAAGCTCCATAGCAGCCACCAGGGGTTGTCTGGCCAAGTCTGCTGCTTGGAGTGCACTTGTAGCCCCTGTGGGCTCCAGAGAGCACTCTGAGTCCCTGTGCGGCCTGGGCTTCAGAGCTCAACAATGCTCAGAGGACACACAGGCAGGGAGAAGCCCTAGTGCGGACTGGCGTCTTGGCTGGAATGGGACCCTTGCTGGAGCCATTGCTTGGCTGCTGAGCTAACACTCCAGTGCTGTTTTCATTGAAGGCCTTCCTGGCTCTTCTCTCTGCTTCATCAGTGAATACCGAGAACAGTTAAACCCTGACCCACCACAGTGCTGGGCAGCCTGCGCAGGTGCTCTCCAGCTCTCCGCCTCGCAACCAGATCAGCGTGGAACCAGCAGAGCAGGGCACATTAGAGTACCTGCAGGGGCCACCTTGATGGCTGTATTGGGTCTACAGACAGAGCAGGCCTGTTGTCCTCTGACTTCCCTGGACTTGCTTTTCTGAAACCTAGCCACTTATTGAATGTTTTCAAGGAGGAAACACAAAACAGCCAGAAGCATTTGTTGAAGTTTTTCTTTGAGCATATTTTGATATTTGAAAAAAAATATTTTTAAGTAACTTGAATTAATGTTTCTTGAATGGGAAAATATTTTTTCATTGCATTTCTACTTTCATTGAATCTGGTAAAGAAACAAACATTACCCCTCACACTGAAGCCACGGGATGACAAGTGCCCTAGTTGGGCCAGAGTGCCAAACCTCAGGTGAGTGCATTCCTGAGCTGAGGAAGTGAACCTGCGATCCAGTCTCTGGCTGGCTCCGATACGGTTCAAGACTTTGCTGAGGCCATAGACTGAGGACTCCTCTTTAGAATCCTGATACGTGTGAATTGGAGCAGCCCGGGCCTAGCTGGGCTCTTTGGATTTCTCAGGGAAGATACCTCATCTAACTGCTGCACAAAGTGTGGAGTCACATTTATAGTAGAAATTCTTGTTACTTGGCTAAGTTTTTAAAAAATAGTATCCTCAGCACAGTGGATCCAGGATTTCTGTGGTTCTTGTTAGAATATTGACACTGCAGCCTGGCTCTGTTCCAAATAAGACCAGTTCTACTGATTATTCATTTTAAAAAAGCAAAATCATTAATGTATTATCCTGTGACAGTTTAAATGTAAAAGTCATAATTATGTGTAGATTAGAGAGGTCAGCTTACAATGCCTATGACTTCTGGGATGTAGTTCTAGCTGGGTGTGGTGGTAGCCTATAATTTCAGCGTCCTGGAAGGCTGACAGAAGATCTCAAGTTTAAGCCTAGCCCTGGCAACTTAGAGAGACTCTGCCTCAAAAATAATGCCCCCCCCAAAAAAACAAAGACTTACACATTCCTGAGTTTTATTATTGCCACATATTTCTTGTCTTCTCTTGCTGTGTTGTTAATAAACTGTAAAGCCACCTTAGAGTCAGGGTCTTTCCTTGGTGGTCCTTTGTTCAAGCCATCCTTGGGATTTCTTCCTGGTAGGCGGGATCTTCGCTCCTTCTGGTTCAGCACACTGATGTGTTTTTTATCCAGTGATTTTTGTCTGGGCCCCATGTCTCATTTGTCACACCTAAATCTCCTCTCCCTAGGTTCAGAAAACAAGAACTCTCTGCTTATATAAAGATTAAAGTTACAATGATCTCGTTTTTTAAAAATCTTTCTTCCTCAGTTATTTCATGGTTTATGTCTAATTTGGCATTGTTTAAACATACTAATAAAGTAGAGCTCAATGATATAGTCATAGTACAGCTAGTATTGCATAATAATATAGTTGTAGTACAGTCTGATAATATTGACATATTGCATGCAAACCTTAGTAATAAAAGAATGTGTCTGCCCCCCAAATGTAGGAGGAGCTACCACTCTTGCTTCTTCGAATATCTTTTCTTTCGTTGTCCTTACGCAAAGGTATTTTAGAGAAAAATCTCCTTAACTTACATTTAACAACTCCTAGATTTGCCTCAGAACTCTTTCAAAAGGCCTTGTTCTTTCACACTCACGGTGCACTAACAGCTCATCCATGTAGTAGCATCTTCTGCCGTCTTCTATGCCCAATACAGGCCCTCAGTTAGCAGGGTGGCTCCTGCACTTGGTGTTAGTCACTTAGCCTAGGATCGCCATCCTTCTGCCACCCTCCTCCTTTTCCTCCATCCCATGACTTATTGCCATGGGTCTGTTGTCAGGGAAACCAGGTCCGCATTTTCTTGCTTGACTTCTTTTAGGTTAACTGTTCTTTTCCCCTGGTAGTCCCTCTAAACATAGACAGTAGATGCACAGACCTGATTAGACTTGGGTTCCAGTCTTGTGCAGGAATGTTGCAGAGGGGACCCCACAAACAGCTCCCCACACAGGAACGCACATCCTTTCTGGCTTGCTTCTGTAGAGATGCTGAGGCTGCTCCGATCATTTAAGAAATGTTTCATCATGAAATGCTTAAATAATTGCTTTTCTCTTTTAATTAATTTTCAGTACTATGGTTGGTTTTCTACCTGCTTCTAATCAGAAACAAATTTTTTTCTTCTTTTTGGCTTTTTAGCTCTTCTTTAAATGTCATTAAGGATGAATGGATTTGTATGTACTTAGTATATTTTATGAGTTGTGCTGTGTCTAGTCATTCCATCTTTTCCATCAGGGGAACCCCTTCAGCTGTCTTTGTATTTATTTATTTATTTATTTATTTTCAGTACCAGGGATTAAACTTGGGACCTTATGCTTGCCTGGCAGGTGCTTATGCCACTGAGCTATATGCTTGGCCCTATTTATTTACTATTAATCTTTTTTAAAGAAAAGTATAAAGATATATTCTGTATACCAAAAGCTTTTCCATTTTAAAAATGTACAATTTTGATCTTTCAGAGGTTGACTCCAGGGCCTTGTGCTTGCTGAATACATGCTCTACTGCTGAGCTACATGTCCAACCCTTTCTGTGTCGTTTTGACACTGTCCGTTTCTCACCAGACACAATAAAATGTGATTGCATGAGTTTACTTTTTAGAATTTTGATTTTAAACAAATGTTCTCCTCCTTTAGATCATCTCAGATCTTGAGTCTTGGAATGATGAGCTTTCTCAGCAGATGAATGATTTTGACACGGAAGACCTCACCATTGCGGAACAGCGCCTCCAGCACCATGCGGACAAAGCCCTGACCATGAACAACCTGACTTTTGATGTCATTCACCAAGGGCAGGACCTCTTGCAGTACGTCAACGAAGTCCAGGCCTCCGGTAAGTGGGCCCACCCACCCAGTGGTTTCTTCTCCTCCACGTCGTCCCATCCCTGCCACCACAGGGATTCGTTTATTTCAGTGATGGCTGCAGACATTGTAGCAGAACAGCGATACGAAACTCTGCCCCTAGCAAAAATTCATATCCCAAGGACCATCTGTCTCAGGTCAGAGGACCCCCATGTCCCTCGGATTCTGTCCTAAGATATGGCTTTTAGTGATATGTGTTCTTTAAAAGAAAATGTTTGGTATTTTATTTCACTAATCATATTTAAGGTTATGTTTAGAAACTCACTGATCTCATGTATTTTTTCAGGAACCATGAATTTGAATTTTTCAAAATGACATGTCATATCTCTGTGAATTGTTAGGTTTTTCAGTGATGCAGCAGAGAAGTAAAAGTGGGGGGAACTTTATTAACTCTGAGGACATGGACAGAATCCGAGGGATATGGGGGTCCTCTGACCTGAGACAGATGGTCCTTGGGATATGAATTTTTGCTAGGGGCAGAGTTTCAGGGGCAGGTTTAGTGACTCCTAATGAGTTGATGGGGGTCGCCCTTGTGGTGCAGGAAAAGTAAGAGGGAATTGTGACTAGGACTGGGGTAGGGCTGAAGGTGAGGGTGGTCTCTGGGAAGATAAGCTGTTGGTTTTGGGTTTCGGCCATGTTAGATGACCATCATAATAGTTCAGCAGTTTATACTTGGGCTGGAACTTACCATGAATGAAGTATAGCTCCAAATAAAGTATTTTCTTTAATTTTTATGTTTATGTTTTCCCAGCAGATGTCACTGTGGTCTCAGGTTAACTACTATACAGCGTAGCTGTGGGACTAGGACCTTGCTTAGCCACAGCCAGTGTACTTGACTTATTTTATGTAAGGTAAATGCAGTAATTCCAAAGAGTAAACTAGATACTGAAAAGAAAAACTCCTGTAAAGGCTGATCCATTAGCACCAAGTTGCCCACCGAGTCATGGATTTAGGGCGCAGGCTTAGCTAGATCATCTTCACATTTTCTTCAAATACAGTTACCTGTGTGTCTGTCAGGCTGGCCCTTCTGTGTCCAGCCTGGGGTGCCCCAAGAGGTCCTTTCACAAAGGCAGGCTGTGTGTTTTTTACCAGTTGAGACCCAGTAGTCAAAAGGCAGGTTGAGTTGTAGGGGTGCCCCTTGTGTGTCCACAGGTGTGGAGCTGCTCTGTGACAGGGACGTGGACATGGCCACTCGGGTCCAGGACCTGTTGGAGTTCCTTCACGAAAAGCAGCAGGAGCTGGACTTGGCAGCAGAGCAGCATCGGAAGCACCTGGAGCAGTGCGTGCAGCTGCGTCACCTGCAGGCGGAAGTGAAACAGGTGAGCTGGGGACCTGAGGCAGGCAGCAGGGAAGCTGGGGAGTCCTTCCTGGGAGTTCTGTCCTGAGCCAACACAGCTGTCCTAATAACAAGATGCCGCACAGCCCAAGTACAGTGCCTGCTGCACAGCAAAGAAATCAGCCTGTCTTGACCTGTGTTTTCTGCCGCTGCCATCTGCTGTTAAGGATAAGAAAAGTTGTCACTCATCTCAAGATGAGATGCCCTTATAGGCTTTCACTGAGCTGGCAGGTGCTGCAGAAATCAGCACTTGAGACCACCTCACAGACCTGGCCCCCTTCCTAGTGGTCTGCAGGATACACTGGAAAGGCCACCACTTGGAGTTGTCGTATGTCACGTTTCAGGTGCTGGGTTGGATCCGTAATGGGGAATCCATGCTCAACGCCGGGCTTATCACAGCCAGCTCTCTGCAGGAGGCAGAGCAGCTGCAGAGAGAGCACGAGCAGTTCCAGCACGCCATCGAGGTAAGGGTTGCCCTACCCTGCAGCTGGCCTTTCTAGCCCCTGGACTGGGCTGCTCACCCTGCCCTGGTGAGAGCCACCTGTGGCTGATTGGTGAAAATGGCAGTGCTTACTTTTCCATGGGCATGGGAGAAAGTAGTGGTACAGCAACCGAGGAGAGCGAGGCAGCAAAAGTCCAAGCAGCCAGGGCCCTTTTGTACTACAAGACTGGCAGGATGTGCTTCCGCTGGTCAGGACCATGCAGGACCCAGAGAGGCCAAACTGGAGGTTCAAGTGAGGCTTTCGTGTTATTTTCCTGTAGGCACATTCATGCCTCACACCCAGTGGCACCAAGACAGAGGGCTGGGGTACCTCAGCAAGCCCTCAGGCAGTCCAAGGTCGTATGGCAGTGCCTAGTGCTGGCCCAGAGCCTCCGACCATACCTGCCGTGGCAGCATCCTGCTGGACAAGGGTCAGCAGGAAGCCGTGGCCTTTCCCTTCTGCCCACCTTCACTCCCAGCAGTGGCACTGATCGGGGGGCTGGCGTGAAGGGCATGAAGGAGAGTTCTGATTCTAACCATTGGTCTCCAGGAAGTGAGGAAAAGAGCATTTGATAACAGAAGACACATTCCTGCTCTATTGACATACATATTCTCAGCCAGGAAATAAAGTCACAGAAGTCCCTACCTTTTTTTTTTTTTTTTTTTTTACCTAGTTCAGCCTATTTTCAACTACAGAATGCCAGTGGACACACTTCTCCTAAGGCTGCAATCAGGCAGCTTTTGAAAACTGTAACTATGCTCTGCCAAGTGATTTCTAGTAATTAAATGACAGGTATTAAGTCACTGCATCCAGGCAGTGAATGAGTATTGTGCATAACGTTGTATAGGCTTGTTTGCAGTATTTTAGGTGAAAGGCAAGATTTTACTTCTTTTCTTTTTTGTAAACCTGCATCCATAGAGAACCGTGTGCTGCACTGAGCTCTCTTCCAACCCAGCGTTTTAGGACTTCCCTGGCAGATCCTTGACCTCAGCCCCCTCCCGACATCCTGAGCCTCTGAGCGAGACTGATGGGTGTTCTGTGTGAGCCCCTGTGGGCTATCATAGCATGGCACAGGCTTCTGGAGAACGCGGTGGTACATCCTTAACCTTTCTTCAGGATTTTTATTTTCTTTTTCTTTTATTTATGTATTTACTTTTACGTATTTAGTACAGGGTCTCACTACATAGATCAGACTCATAGCGATTCTCCTGTTTTCAGCCTCCCCAGTGCCATGATTGCATGTGGGTGCCACCATGCCTAATGTCAGTCGCCGCCTCAGCCAGCCCTGGGGGCAGGACTGGCACGACTTGCCTGGGGTTGAACCTTGGCCACTGCCTTCTGCCTAAGCAGGCACTGTAGTCTGCTGAGCTATCTGTCTGGCCCTTTTCTTTTTAAAGTCACAAAACTTTCACTAAAGCCCAACTCTTAACTTGAAGATGAAAATAAAAAGCATTCACTCCAGCGACCGCTTGATCATTTGCTTCCAGCAGCTATTATGAGGAAGATCAACAGGAATAATACACTTGGAACATTCCAGCAAGGTTTTTAGAATATTGTCTGTTAAGGGTCTTTCCTATTTCTCAAACTGAAAAGCCCTGAGACCCATTCTGGGAAGTCTTCATGGACTTCATCCTTCATTCGGTTGCTAGGCATAGAGCTCTTTTTACTGAACCCTGTGCATGCAGTGCTTTGAGAAGCATCCTAATGAGCAGCAACTGAATCGATTCTGTAAATCATGAAGAAAATCCCAGTTCCCTCCAGTCAGTGCATGACATCCCTGCTAAACCAGCCTTGCATTTTCCCTGTGCCTAGAAAACACACCAGAGTGCACTGCAGGTCCAGCAGAAAGCCGAGGCCATGCTGCAGGCCAACCACTACGACATGGACATGATCCGAGACTGCGCCGAGAAGGTGGCCTCCCACTGGCAGCAGCTCATGCTCAAGATGGAAGACCGCCTCAAGCTCGTCAATGCCTCTGTCGCCTTCTATAAGACTTCAGAGCAGGTCAGGAGCGCTCCATCATCATTTACATGTCTGCCACTATTGAGTCACCTAAGCAGGGAAAGACACACTACAATTAAAATTACTGTTGCTACCTTGGGTATCCAAAGTTGGGTTGAGAAAGCAAGCTCTTCTCCAGTTTAAATCTTCAACTTGAGACATAAGATAGAAATAGAAACTTTAGTTTTAGCTTTGTTCCTGCTTTGAAATGCCTCCCTGGCAGCCCTGTGGATTTTCCCTTGTGCATGGAGAGCCCCTGGCTGCTGCTAGTGTTCTGGGTCCTTCCACCACCACCTTCCTACTCGAACTGTTTGAAAGTGCTCTAGGTGATGCTACTGGAACTTTCTTCCCCTCACAGGTCTGTAGTGTTCTTGAGAGCCTAGAGCAGGAGTACAAGAGAGAAGAAGACTGGTGTGGAGGAGCTGACAAGCTGGGCCCCAACTCTGACACAGACCATGTCACCCCAATGATCAGCAAGCACCTTGAGCAAAAGGAAGCATTCCTAAAGGTTTGTAGTAGAACTGCTGAATCCCAGTTTCTCACTGAAGTCCAGGTGCGGATCCAGCCGTGTGCTGGGCTGGAGGAAGCGGATGACTAGCTGTGCATGCGGTGTCACCACAGGCTGCAGGTGCTGTCTCAGAGCAGTCAGCACTTCCAGGGCTGGCCACGCCTCACGGCTTCCAATTGGGCGCACAGGGCCACGCCTCACAGCTCTGATTGGGCGCACAGGGCCAC